ACGTGGTACCCTGACCCATCCCATGGCAGGCGAGCCATGACCGGTCGCCATTCCACCGTACATGTTGCCTAACCTCCCTACGGCGTCATATGTCTTGAAATCTAGAATAGGTCCGATGCACTAGGGATGCCTCGATGGACCTAGATTCGATCACCAAAGCTACTAGAGCAATGGCTCGTGTGCCTCATCATTGAACGAAAGACTTCAATCGAAGTTCTAGTTGAAGGTTGTGCTGGAGGACGTGGCCACCTCGCCACACACTAAACCATATGTACCTTGGTAACCGTAGGTGCAAACAGGCAGCAATGCTAAAGCAGTGCAGGCCCCGACGGCCGGAGGGATGACCACCCCCTGGAGGGGTGAGGATGGTGAAGCCTACGATGTGTTAAAGGGTACTGGCTCAAGACACAAGTTAAGGTCGTGGCATAAGCAAAGCCACTAATGTACATACAACGTGCTAGCCAGAGGGGCAGAACTGTCTTTTTCTCATGGTTTCCCCCTCCATTAAGCCCAGGAATGATGAAATAATGACTGTGGTGTCCACTAGTAAATCACGTGTCTTTTAGGAGTCCTAGAGCCATGTCACGCCTTTTAGGAGTTCGTTAGGAAATACCAGAAAATTTGACCGTCCTCTAGCAAATTTTTCCTATATATTATGTCGAATTGCAGAAGGTAAGAAAAAGGATAGTCTGGAGGCCAAACAGTAGGCAAGGCTAAGCCAGAGAGAAGGCTACATGAAGAGAAATAAAAGAAACAGGGAACACAGAAAAAAAAAAGAGAGCAAATTTCTCTAAACTACATGTACTTTGACAAAACTATCACAAAACTATATATTTAAGGTGTATCACAAAACTATAGATTTAGGACCAACTTTATCAAAGAACTACAGATTTAAGGTGGAAGATCACCAAACTACACATTTAGTAATAATATTATCACAAAAGTACATGTTTTGCAACATGTTAAGTACAAAACTACAACATTTATCACTCTAACATAGCAGTAGTGGTAGGGATTTAAGTTGTAAAATATATAGTTTTGTGATAACTCTAGTATTAAATCTTTAGTTTTGTGATAGTTGGCCTCAAATCTTGTGTTAAATCTGTAGTTTTGTGATACAGTGCCTTAAATTTGTAGTTTTATGATAATTTGATCGAAGTAACTGTAGTTTTATGAAATTTACTAAAAAAAATTAACTAATCCCTACACCTTGGGCACACCCTTCGTTTTCCCCTCGGTGTAAGCGGCGAGCTCAGCCACTACAACGTTGTGACCCAACGAGGGCCCAATCCTCCGGGTGAGGTCGTTCATGTCACGACGCGGGGATGGTGTGCTGGAGCGCCCTACATTAGGATGGAGAACACCACGGGGTCCAAGCAAACAGAGGGGTCGATGTGCCTACACTCCTGTTGAAGCAACGACAATATATGGGTGGTGGCCTATGAGCACCAAGCCTCGTAGGTGGCGATGACCTTCTTGGTGAAGCCCCTACCTCATCGACCAGGTCATCTTGTCGGTGATGGGGGCATTGTCCTTTGGGACTGTAGGTCCTTTGATCCACAATCCACGAAGTCGGAGCCCAAAGCCCACGTAACCGCTAGGGCACATGCACGGCATTCTCATCTAGTGTGCGGGCATCAAGCGAATGAGTCTCCGACTCTCCCTTGGCCATGCTAATCTCCTAAGACAACGCCTCTTCTCCGGGGACAGGCGGGCCACCTCGGTATGAACATCCCACAACCATTTCTCCACCTATGACCGAGACACCTCCACCTGCAAGAGGGCCAGTTGCACCGTCACCATTTTGCCTCCACCTATGAGGCTGCACCACTGGCCTCCGCTGTACCTAAGGCTATAATCTCGTCTAGACGAAGCCTCTCCGCGTGTTGTGTTGCTGCATCACTTCCCCCACGCTTGATGGATGCTTTGACGACCACCATGGCCTGAGCGAAGGAGGAAGGCACTCTGATTACTCAAAACAAACCCAACAAGAAACAAGGACAGACGGACGCACCTACTAGGCCAACACACATTGCAGCTCCATTAGCTCCATTGATCTCATCATAGTAGCCAATACACGAGCGTCATCCCCAAGCAGGGAGGACCAGATCGGTGCCTCCACATCCAACCGGAGCGCCACCAAGTCTCTGGGACGCACGAGCCGCCCCATGATGGTAGGCAATGGATCCCATGAGTGGATGATGGCCTCTGCATGGATGCCCTCTGGAGCTGCCTCCATGATATGCCCCCACAGAGGGCAATCACTTGCTCCGGAGTCAAATCAAGGACGCCATCCGCCTCCGATATCACCATATCAGTTGATATCTCCACTTGAGGTGGCAACGACGCCACCTCCTCTTCTCCAGTCCACCACGGCATCGAGGGCATTGTCTCAACTTTCGAAGAAGACGACTACGACCTGTACCCTGGAAAACCTACAATGAAGAAGGGGAAAATGAAGAGAGAGGCATGTAAGAGATAACAATATAGCCTCACGATAACAGGAAGGAAACGAGACCCTTACCTGTGAGGGCCACTTGCCAGGCCGTCTCGTTGGCCTCTATGGCAACCGCTACCGTTACCACCTTCGGTGCATGGATAGTGGAGACCGACGAACCGACCTCGATGATGTCATGATCGAAGGCTTTCACCGACGTCTCTGACAACAACAGTGTTGGTCGCTTGGCCTGTAGAGGCACGCCCACAAAAGGAGGAGCCAAAGATTTGCTCCCTGCTTGGACCTCTTGGGAGCATGGACCACGTCCGCCCCGCGATGCCCCTTGCGCTTTCCATCCTTGTTGGTCTCCTCTAGCTCATGGAGAGAAGGCATGGCAAGGAGTGTAAGCCCAAACCTCTTGGCCACACTATTCCGTCAAACTGATGCATTCTTTCGAGCCAGGCGAGCGACCTTCTTCCTGGGTAGCGAACTCCCTAGTATCTTCTTGGCATCCGCGATCACCATTGTGACTAGGATAATGGTCTTAGAACGCTGCAGTGTGTACCGAAGGTCGGAATGGGGAGACAACAAGTGGAGCACTACTGCAAGGTAGAAAGATTTAAGGGGTTATCAACCACGCGATGTGAAGGGGCCTAGGTCCTCCCATAGAGACTATTGGGTGCCCAATGTAAGGGAGTGATCCCATTGGTCTTTAGCCATGTGACCCCCAGCAAGCAGGACTCCTTGACTAGATCCCTCATCCTCTAGAGAGAGGAGATGCGGCGGAGGATGGTGTTCAGCGGAGCCCCCACTAGGTGTAATGCGTCCACATCCAGCTTCCACTAGTACCGTATGTCTTGACTGGTAAAGCAGAGCCCCGAGTCTGTCCCCCACCATTAGGTAGAATTAGCGCGAAGGTCACCTAGTGGCCTATCGGTCATTGGTAGCCCGTGAGGGAAAGTACTCCGCCATGCCTAGGTGGACCTAGAAATAGATTCTAAAACAATTCAATGATTTCGTCACCCTTCCTTACATCACCTTATTAGGGTGACAACTAGCTAATTGGAGGGTGGAAAAGTGCTTCACGGAGCCTTGCCTGTTGTCCACCCACATGTTTCACTCATAGATGGCGATGTGAGCCATGGCGTTGGCTGTCAGTATTAGGAGCTCGACAACAAGGAAGAAGTCGAGCACACCCACCACCAACGAAGCCATGGTGGACTCGAAGCTCGCTGCACATAAGGCCTCAAGCACCACTATCTCATCATCCCGGGGGGGGGGGGAGGGGGGCAACTCGCCGCGAGACAAACTTGTATCCCCGTCCGTGCAATATTCTTCTCCGCTACGTCTAGCTTGTCTACGTGCCGCTGCTTGGCCTATGAGCGGCCCGGCATGCCAGATTGCAAGGGGTAGGTTTGGCTTCCCTAGTAAAAGTTTTATGCATTCTTGGCATTCGTCTCGCCATCGTCCCCATCACCCGGTGCCATGGCTAGGCACACTGCCGGCGGTTGTCTGAGGCGTCGATACCATCTCGTTGGCCCACTCGATAGCATATGTATAAACTTTATATACACATATATACAAAGTTTATACATACGTATATAAAGTTTATACATACGTATGCAGGAATAGTAGTGGACTTGGTTGACACGTGTCCCGCGGGCCACGGGTTGAGGAGAGTGCGCCCAACCGTTGATTACACCACCACAAAAGGCAAAAACATTATTGGGAACCGCTCAGCCATCGTCTCTCACTAGATTGATCTATCTTTCTGTTTTTGGCTAGATTTTTATTTTCGGCATATGATCTTTCTATTTTGAGCTACACACATGAGAGAGAACGGCCGCATGCCTGGGGCCGATCTCGACTGGAAACGCATGCAGAGCGACGAGAGTGCTGATTCGCAATTAAAGTTCATATTAGGAAAATGCAAATCAAAGTCTATTTTTTCATTTGCATTTTAAATTTGTTTCGAACTTATACGTACAAGTTTGTAAGCATACGTACAGACTTCTAATTGGTATTATTATTTTTTTAGAAAGTTAATTGGTATTATTATTGCCATGCATTGCTGTATGTTTTGCTACTGTTATTGTTATTACTCATGAATGGCCCAAGGCCCAACGAAATAAATGGGGTAATATATAGTTAGCTTTTCAACCCTTTCAATTATTCATGGCCTAATTGTTAGAAATATACTGATTACAAGTTGATATAAATTAAAGTGAGTAAATTTTGTAAAATTATATATATTTCAATAAAGCTATTTTAAATTGCACATGTAAATCCACAGTATCTTTATTATTATTATTTTTTAAAAGAAAATTTTAAGATACAATATATCACAAAACTACATAAACTTTTTTTTTTCATATCACAAAGCTAGAGATTCTGAAAGTTTCATCAGGATAACAATGCTAGGATTGAAACTTTGTGACATGGAAATTTGTTATAAATTGTGATTTAAATATATAGGTTGCTGATGCTGTGGCATAATTGTACAGTTTTGTAATAAATTTGATGGTTTTGCTAAAGTATATATATAGTACCCTTGTGAAAATTGAGTTGTACATCCACATGTAATTTATAGCCAGCAATGAACATCAATGGCACAAGTACATCCGTATAATTATTTATAGATAAATAACGAACATCAACTCGACAACATACTATTAATTCACTCCATATAATTTAAAGAAAATAGTGTACATCAAATGCATGGCTGCTTGATATGCAAACTTTTATATCGAGAACGAGAGTTTTATTTCGATGAAATAATTGCACTGGTCTTCCTAGCATGATTAATTAGCAATCTTCATTTCAAGTGTTTGTGAAACCAGTCAAGCATTAACGCAAGTGCTTGCTCAGCTTTTTTGACCTCGAAAGGGTTGCTGGCGTTATACCTGCAAGCGAAGCCATGGTTCACTCCTTGAAAGACCTTGGCAAAATAATCAATCTGCAACAATAACTCATATATAAGAGGTTATTTAGTTATAAAACATAATATATTATTCCCGCAATCATAAAATATAAAAATATAAGGTACAAACCACCACTAACACGAAAACCAAGAAAAAAAATATTATCACCTTCTCATTTGGATTACCTCAATATAATACGATGCATGCATCTAATGTGATTAAAGATCTTGGGGTGGAGGATTGAAAAAAACAAATTTAGGGAAGATGGAGATGATTGTTAACTACAACATAAAAAGGTATGATTTTGCCTTTTTATTTTGGAACGAAGGAAGTAATATGCAATGTTATAGCACTTATTCTTCCAAATTGGAGCTAGCATTCTTTCTCAAAAAAAAATGCAAATAGAGCTAGCAAGGTCTTTTAACATCTCATCATCAGTAAAAATTAATTCTCTTTTATGTTTACAGTTGCAATTTTTTTAGCATATTAAACACTGGTTCAGTTTCAGTTAGTGAGAGCTAGCTTGTGTGTTTTGTACATGCAACTTGTATTTAGAAACTATTATTTTGCTTGTCGCTATTGACTATCATTTTTTCAGATTAATAACTTTTTAAAGATTAATGAAGTTAACTTATGTAGTTGTATTATGGCAGAACACACATCGTTAATATGTAATATAATTATTTTTGCAAATAGGATGAATGGTCAACGTCAAAAACTACTTCTTCCATCCTAAAATAAACAAATATTAAATAGGATGAGCTTTTACCTATTCAACAAATCTGAACAATTGCCTGTTTAAATTCGTTGTAATAGGTAAAGACTTATTTTATCTAAGGTTTGTTTATTTTAGAACAAAGAGAGTAAATAGAATCCAGTAACAAGTATTTGAAGAGCGAGATGGAGTTTAGAAGTAAAAAACATGGATGTATTTGGGACCAACCGTCAATAAAATCAACAGGAACTCACCTGATCAGTTCTTTGACGCAAGGCATGAACAAACTGGTAAACTAATCTTGGTGGTGTAACTGTGTCATTCTGAGCTCCAAGGATCTCAATGGGCCATTTGACCTCTGTTAATTAATCAAGGAGAGCTTGGAATAAGAAAACAATTATTAGCTATTTTCTATTGTAACAACGAACAGCGCAACAAAAGAAAGAAAGTTCACCTTTCATGTCATCAGCAGTCACCGCTGCAGGATGGGAGATGACAATTGCTTCAACCTCGTTAGTTTTTGCTACCTCCACTGCGAACTTCCCTGTCAGTAAAACAAATTTGTTTTCAGAGACTTCAATATGAATTAAATAACTGCTTGTTGAATATATGGGGTTAGGAATTATATATTCTGGAATTCCATATCAAAGATTTTGACCATTAAGTTCAGGATATTACAACTACATTTTCTTATATTGATTGATAGATGTGACTCACCGCCCCAACAGTAACCTCCAACTCCAACAATAGATTTCCCTTCCTTGCTTAGAGCAGCAAAGATTGGTTTAGCATCTTCAGCTGCTTTTACCTGCAAGATCAATTGAAAATGCTTGTCAATATTAATTATATATTCTTTCTTTAGAACTTTAATTTATTATCTTGAATCGTTTATAACTGTTTATATATTATCTTTTCTTAGAACTTTAACATATTATCTTTATAAGCATCCCGCATAAGTTACATTTTTGGGATAAAGTTTTGTTTTGTGGCTTTGTGTATATCCTTGGTGCAGCTGTCGAGTTTTCTTTTACTCTATCGTCTCAATCATATATCACGATTTCAAGGTAAAGTTACAGGGGAATATTAGATCAAATTAATTAATATGGTGAAATGAATTACCGGAGAATGAGCACTGAGCCATTCTGTACGGTTCTGGTCAAATGTGTAGGGTTGTCCATGGAACAAATCAGGCACAACGACGTAATATCCGGCTAGACCAACTTTATCAGCTATTTTCCTGAAATTGTCAGCAACCTTATAATCAAACATCTGCTTTTACATTGTTTTCAAATGTAAAATTAAAATAAAGTACTGGCAGATAAACAGAGTTTCTGCAAGCCATGGAGAAATAGCTTGACGTACAACCTGGCAATGGAAGATCACATAATAAGTTCTGAATTAACATTGGGTTCACAATCTTACATATATTAATTGTCCCTAAGCAGATGTGCACACTATACAATGATGTACAATAGTATATGTGTCATGAAAAACATATTTTAGTTTAAGTAAGCACAATATGGAATTCTTATCATGGCGCATATACTCGCCCATTTTAAATTGCTGTCCAATTATATGTGCTATCTAAGTACTAGTTAAAGATATTAAACCATGATTACCACACTATTAAATGGTATATTTGAACCTCTTGGTATATTTATATTACTAGCAAATATGCCCGTGCGTTATAACGGGTGAAAAATTCTAATAACAATATATGCTTTTTGTCGACGGGGGATACCCGTAGACCGGATATAGAGGGTATTGGGGTACGCTGATATGAGGATCTACGTAGTACGACATCAAGCAAACAGGAAACAGGGATTATATTGGTTCAGGCCCCTTGATAGGTAATAGCTCTAATCCAGTGATATGGGATTATATAATGAAAATCACATATTAGAAAGGGAATAGTGGAACTCAATGATACCGACGAGATCGTAGTCGAGTTGGTTCAACTAAATCACCCGGCGACTTGGCTCCCGTAGGCTCCGGCTTTGTAGGCTGTGGTGGATGTGTTGGCGGTAAGATTTGATGTCTTAGGTCCTCCCGGGGTGGTCCTTTTTATACCGCAGGTCAGTTGGTCTCCAAGTAGAACTCGGAGACATCGGACCCCACACGATACAGTAACGACCCAGTTCTGTCTGAGTAGGACTCCTTCTATCTGTGGATTCCGCATCTATCTCGTGACGAATTTCCTTAACGTACATAGGAAATATCCGTATAGGCGCGGGTATACCGTATCAGTATACAACGTGTATCCAAGGGTAGAGGGTATATCTTATCCATAACCCTGACACTTTTCATGATAATCACTACTAAACGATAGATTTTCGTGGACGTTACCCCCTTTTATTTCCATGCAGTTCTTAAGTGGAACTGCACGGAAAAATAGGGGAACCGGGGCTGGGCTGTTGCCCGTATGGGAAAATCGATTTTCTCGTGCGGTCCTCCTAAACGGACCGCACGGGAAAATGAGCCGATTTTCCCGTGCGTATCTATTAAGAGAGCCGCACGCGAAAATAGTATTCCCTATTTTCCCTCCCACCCATTTCAAAATTTTTCCTCATTTATCTCTTTTAATTTCTCCTCACATCCCTCCCCTCTTATCTCTCTTCTCTCTCCTCCTCTCTCTTTCACGCCTCTCCCCTCGTCTCCTTTTGGCGCGCGGGCGATGGCAACGACAACGGCGGTCGGCATCGGCCTCAGCTCCACACGACGGCGGTGCAGGCACGGGATCCGGCGGGCGGCGGTCATCCCCGCACAGATCCGGTGAGCGGCCGGCCTTCCCCACGCGGGATCCGCTCCCCTCCCCTCCCCTTCCTTCCCTCCCTAGATCTGGCGGAGGGGAGGGGCTTCTGTGGCGGTGCAGCCGGACGGGAGGGTGGATCCGGCGGGCAGCGGCATGGAGGGGAGCGCGGATCCGACGGGCGGCGGCGCGGAGGCCTCCGCCGATGAGGAGGAGGAGGAGGAAGCGGCGCCGCTGCCATGCGCCGACGTGGAGGCGCCCGTCGCGGCTGCTGGTGGAGGCGGCGCGGCGGCCGCCGCTGGCGTTGAAGAGGAGGAGGCGGCAGCCGGGAGCGGCGCCGCTCTCCCCACCTCATGCGGCCGCCGCCGACGACGAGGAGAAGGCGGCCAGGAGCGGCACCGCCCTTCCCACGCCAGGATCCGTCATCCGGCTGTGGCGGCTGCACTCCGCACGGATCTCGCGGCGACACAGTCCCCCGCCTGGAGCCGGCCAGCGGTGACGGCGGGGAGTGGCGGATCTAGGGTTAGGGTTCGGTAATTTGTGAATTTTATTTTTTTCTGGATTTTTATTTTTCTGTGCGAGCGACATAAGCAACCGCACGGAAAAATCCGATTTTCGCGTGTGGGAGGGCCACCCGCACGCAAAAATCATGACTTTCGCAGACGAAGTGTTGCGTGCGGGCCATTCATCCGCACGTGGATATTTTTTTTGACCGCACGGAAAAACCCATCCCGTAGCAGTGAATGTCATATCATAGTGTCAATGATAATATTTTTAACATATCATAAAGAAAACTGGAACATCTTAAATCAATGGCCCAACCTCGGTGCTGGCAACCTTACCAATGTTTTGCTTTACCCAAAAGAATTGGATTGTTCATCTAACAACATGCATAAAAATCTAAAATTAATACTTTTCAGTCTTATTCTTGCAATCAAAATTAGGATCAATCAAATCCTATATTGCCTCGCATGATTAAGTCTACACAAAATAGAGCCACGTGCACTCTTCTCTAAATATCAATTAAAAACATATTTATTTTTAATATTATTTCCATATAATATGTTATAAAGAATAGTAGCTATGGTAGTATGATAATTGCCTACACAGACATGCAGGGCTATCAATACAAGAGAATAGATGAGGAAAGAGAAGCCGTGTAGATGGAAAAAATCGATGGATCCTATCTAACCCAAACGTCCATTAATTTGATCTCGTTCTCAGAAAAAAAAAACCGAAGCAAGACTTGTCTTAGTTCCAGATGTCAGAATTCGACCTACGCTTTAAAAAAACCAAACCGACGTGGTAGACGATGAACAATACAAATGTTACGAATCCTTTTCACGGAATTGGATGTTTTTTCTTTCTAAATTTAGACAGTTTTTTCGCATTGCATGGTGCCAAACCAGATTCTTTTATAAAAGGTGGCGTTTTTCTCACGTTGAGTCAGACAGTTTTTTCAAATCGGTTATTTTATAAATGGTGATGTTTTTTCCTCACGCGGTTTATATAAATTTTGACATGTTTAGGTGGATTTTGATATATGATAATTTGAATGAATAAAAGAATTATTCAAAAGGGGAAAATTGAATTTGCTTTTAAATTTTCAAATATACTTTGAGGAATTTTTGGAAAAGCTGAAAATGTCGAACCAGTTTCTTTAACTAGAATCGGACTTTTTTTTTAACGGTGTGAGGAACATTTTTTTTCTGCCAACCTATTTTTTTTAGGAATTTTTGGAAAAGTAACCCGTTTTTTTAGAATCGGACACTAATCTTTTTTTTTCTGATGACCGGTTTATACGGACTTTGTTTTTAGAATCGGAACGAAACTTTTTTTTTCGCACTATAATTTTTTCCTTTTTTATGGGAGAAGGGTTTTTTTTTTAAGAATCGGAACAAAAAAATTTTCGCACTACTTTTTACTCTTTTTTACGGAAGATGGAAACCTTTTCTTTGCACGTTTTTTCCTTTTTCCAGTATCGACGACGGAACTTTTTTTCCCACTAACATTGTTTTTTTTTTTTGGATAACGGTTTATACAGATGATTTTTTTTAATCGGGCAGAAACTTTTTTCACACTTTTTTTTTTTTGCTTCTTTTACATGCGGAAACCTTTTTTTCGCGTGGTTTTTATCGGTACGGACAACGGAAATGTCTTCTACTTATTTTTAAGTAGTAGAGATTAGCTGTAGGAGGATAGAATATGAAACAATTCCAATATATATATGTCGCTATGCTGCTGATCATCTCCATGTAGGGATAACATATTGAAAACCCTAAGAAATTACTCTCAAAACTAGCACAGTGGCCTGCACAGATTGCGCGGCTAGTATCATTATATTTTCTCTCATATAATAGCATATATGTTTCCTCATTATATTATTCAAATATATTAAAATGAGAACATAATTTTAAATTTTGCAATAACTTTACAAAACTACTAATGGGTAATATTTATATTATATTTTATATACGTGTTAGTTATTAATTATTTTTAATATCAAACTTTAGTTATTTGTAAATTATATATATTCCTATATGGACTCTAGACTTATCTTTTAATATTTTCTTTTTTTTAATTCCGAATTTTCTGTAAATTGTATTTCTATATAGACTCTATGCTCTTCTTCCAATATTATTTATTTTTATTTTTAAATTTTTATTATTTCTAATTGTATTTCTATGTGGACTCTAAACTCATCTTTTAGTATTCTTTAATTTTTAATTTCGAATTTTAGTTACTTCTAAATTGTACTCCTATATTGATTTTAAACTCTTCTTCCCATGTTTTTCTTAATTTGGAATTTTAGTTATTTGTAAATTGTATCTTTATACGAACTCTAAACTCTACTTTTAATTTTATTATGTTTATTCCAAATTTTAGTTAGTTTTAAATTCCTATATGGACTCTATACTCTACTTCTAATATTCCTTATTTTTTAATTCCAAATTTCTATTTTTTTCTTAATTGTATTTCTATATGGACTCTATACTCTACTTCTAATATTCCTTATTTTTAATTCTGAATTTCAGTTATTTCCTAATTGTATTTCTATATGGACTCTATACTCTACTTCTAATATTCCTTATTTTTAATTCTGAATTTCAGTTATTTCCTAATTGTATTTCTATATGGACTCTATACTCTACTTCTAATATTCCTTATTTTTAATTCTGAATTTCAGTTATTTCCTAATTGTATTTCTATATGGACTCTATACTCTACTTCTAATATTCCTTATTTTTAATTCCGAATTTCAGTTATTTCCTAATTGTATTTCTATATGGACTATATACTCTACTTCTAATATTCCTTATTTTTAATTCAGAATTTCAGTTATTTCCTAATTGTATTTCTATATGGACTCTAGTCTACTCTTCTAATATTCCTTATTTTTTAATTCCGAAATTCAACTATTTCTAAATTGTATTTCTATATGGACTCTAGTCTCCTCTTCTATATTCCTTATTTTTTAATTCCGAATTTCAGCTATTTCTAAATTATATTTTTATATGGATTCTACTTTTTCTTTTTCTCCGATTAATGTGAGCCAACGTAGAGGCTCCTTTTTCTATTCCTTTAATAATATAATAGATAGATGTGTATTATATAGGAATAATAGGACGTTAGAGTATCTTGGCATATATATCGATATTTACTACTCTCTTTGTTTCATATTTTTAGTTGTTTTACTCTTTTCTTACTCAAAGTTCTTTAGTTTTGACCAAATTTATAGAAAAAGTTAGCAACACCTACAATACTAAATTAGTTTCATTAAATTTAACATTAAATATATTTTGGTAATATGTTAATTTGTTTTGTATTAAAAATATTAGTATATTCTTCTATAAATTTGATTAAACTTAAAATAGTTTCACTGAGAAAAATATCAAATGACTTATAATATGGAACAGAGGGAGTAGTACATAATGATTCTCGATACAGGAGTGGCCTGTCGCCATCCAAGTCTTATACTGATAAATCATGCAGATATATAATCAGTAATATTGAATATTATGTGTGACTTAATTTCTCGCAAGTCACAAATAACTGGAGATCACTATAAAAAAGACAGAGAGAGTTGACCAAAAACCATATCCGATCCCTTCAAAATAACCATAGTCACCTTTCTATTGTTGTAACTTGCATGACAATTGAATGCTAATGTTCATGCAAGTGTACGATGCATGACTGGATCGTACCAAAATCATAACAAGTTTATCGTACATACAGCAATTTCCCTATTATACAAACGAAGAAGAAGATTGTACCTCAGCAATGGCGCTTCGAATCCTGAAGTAGAGACCCACAATTAACAACCACGCAACCACTCACATGCAACAGCAAGAATTCAAGATTAATTAATGGTTAGTAATAAATGAATCCACAATATATCATCAAAGAATATTTCAAAGACAGATAAGCTGGCAGCTCAGGCAGGCATGCACTAACCGAAGATGTCGGTGGCCAAGAGGATGGTCCGCCTGGAATGGACGGCGCCGGTGACGTAGGCCTCGAATCCTCCAAGATCGTGGACGACCACGCCGGCCTCGCCGCCGCCACCGGCCGTCGTCAGGTCCGGCGGGTTGTCGAGACACTGCGAGTGCGGCGGAGCGGCGGCGCCGACGGCGGCCGCTGCGAGGAAGAGGATGGTCGGGTAGAGCAACGCTGGTGCCATGGTTTTCCAACTATCGAGTTTTGACGATACATATGAGGCATCGAATCGATAGTTGCTGGGGCATTTGTAGTTTGTTTATGGCCTTTAGCCTTAGGTTAGGTAGCACATTGCCCTCAGTTTCTTGTTTAATGTCACACCCAGTTCCCGCTGCCTGTTGACATTTTGAATTGAATTTAAGGTGAGAAAAATTTTTTTGTGTGCCTTTCGTTATATTGATCAGTTTTTAATTAATCAATCCCATGTTCAATGTTTTTTTTCACTGTTAATTAAATTAAATATTCCTAAATTTTCATTTTGTTTCCTTTAAAAAATTTTAGCAACATTAACTTTGTATCATAGAAATTAGATTAAATTTCACAAAACTGTATGTATTTTGATCAAACTATCACAAAACTACAGATTGATTGTATTATATCAGAAACTACAGATTTAACATAGATTTATCACAAAACTACAACTTTTGTAACCTCAATTGTTCTACGATATAAACTCTAAAATTTGTAGTTCTTTGATAATTTCATCACTAAATATGTAGTTTTTTAATGAAGTTTTAAATCTGTAGTTTTGTAATATCCTTGGTGTTAAATCTGTAGTTTTGTGATACCTATATTTAAATATGTAGTTTTGTGATAGTTTGATCAAATTATTTGTAGTTTTGTAAAACTTACTCTAAAATTTATACCATGAAAGAATAAGTATTGGTCAAAGTTTGTCCCAACAAAATAAAGTGTACCCTTATTTTTTTCAAACAGAGGTAGCATTTCTCTCTCTCAAAATGATTATTATCTCTACGTTTGTAATTTGTTTCTTATAAAAAAGGTCATCTCTGCCTCCTAACACAAAGTTAAAAATCTCACTAGGGATATTTTTTTCTTCTTGATTTTAATTGTCAAAGGGTGTGAAAATGTTCAAGTGATTGAAATTTTTAAACATGATAATAATTGAAATTAAATTTTAATGTTTAGTAGGAATAATTTCAACCATATTTTAAGTTCATTAGAAAAATTGAAATTTTAGTTTAAAAAATCTTGTAAAAATATAAAAAGAAATGGTGAATGGGCAAATTCACCTCCCTCATAAATTTGTTCTAATTTAATCAAGTACTTTCAGAAAAAATATATTTCAGTTTCAATTCTGAAGGCAAAATCACACGAAGATTAGATAATTTGGGTACTTTTGACCTTTTTATTCTATTTTGAAAGAAGCTCATCAAAAAGAATATATATGATCTTCTCAAAATGAATAGTGCAATTATGAAAAAATAAAACTTGTTCATCAAGTAGTTCGACCTCCCGCATTCGTTCATACTCTTTTCATAACCGAATAATTTGAGGCAATGTGAGCAAAACGTGGAGGCCTGAGAAAGATTAAGTGAAAACTTAGGGACAATCAAACAAGGACCATCTCTTTGAAATTTGGAGATTTTAAATTTCAACTTGAGAATACGTGCCCTTTTCTATGAGGCTGAATTCCTTCCACGCATATAGGTTTACATCAGTCTATGACAGTCCACAAGCCCAGCGGTTATGAATTCAACATCATGTTTAATTTATAGTAGTTGACCTTGTTGAGCAAAACGTGGAGGCCTGAGAAAGATTAAGTGAAAACTTAGGGACAATCAAACAAGGACCATCTCTTTGAAATTTGGAGATTTTAAATTTCAACTTGAGAATACTTCTATGAGGCTGAATTCCTTCCACGCATATAGGTTTACATCAGTCTATGACAGTCCACAAGCCCAGCGGTTATGAGTTCAACATCATGTTTAATTTATAGTAGTTGACCTTGTTGATTCTATAAATCGGTAGTAAGAAGGGGTATCACGAGATCTAAAATGAGTAAGTAAAGGGACACAAATTTAGAAAGGTTGAGGCATTCTCGATGAGAAGTATTACCCTATTCATATTTAGATATTGTATCCGTCTGGTGTTGTATTGATATGACGATCGAGTTTTGGCCATGTTATTTAAGGGCTCCATGTCCATCTTATATAGGTACGGAGGCAGGATTACAAAGAGAAATGGTTATTGGGTCATTTAAATTTCTTCCCTCATAAAATTTGTGAATTTTACTACCTACGCAATCATCAATTATTGTGCAAAGTCAAAGCGAAGAACTTGGAAGCTGCAGGCCTATGGCCAAATTGCTGGACTTTTTGGTAGTGCATCCGGTTCGCCAAAAGTTAATGCTTGGTTTATCGTCGATGTATCCATCAATATAACAGTGCACGCATGCGCACATGGGAGTTCGATCAGTAAGCATATGTGCCCGGATTGTTGACACTTAACCAAACACGCCCTAATTATTCTCAAGAAACATTGCACTGGTGTTTCATGGGAGACAGAGAGAGGAGGCATTGATGATCTATAGCCAATTTGATGGCCAGGAGCATGGATGCAAATATTTTAAATAATTGTCACTTGTGGTGCATGATAAAACCCACTAGTAATTTAGTTTTTATCATGATAAAAACCAATTGGTGGTGATGTTCTTTTATGCCAGTTTTATACAAACTGACACTGATAATAAGGGGTTAAGATATCTTGTTCTGAAATAGTGGAGGACACACCTGTGTTGCTTCATTTATTTGTGGGAACCATGGATTGCTCCTGTTGCTAGCTCCAGGGTTCAAAATTTCGTAACAAAATTTCCGAAATTTTGGTCCTATTGGAACCCCCATACGATATTATTTCGACTGAAACTTTTTAATTTTTCGTGAATTTTGACAATATTTGTTCAAATATGACTATTTTGTTCAAAATTTTAGACTGGAATTTCTAAAATTTCGGAAATATCGCCATGTTGACACCCCCGATACAAATACCGAAAATGAAAGATTGAACACTGCTAGCTAGCTCACGCTGTTCACTGAGGAACTGGGAATGCATGTGAGTGCATGTGAAGATCTATAGTTGTAAAATCCAAAATCTACCTAGAAGTCAGAAGCTGAGAAATTGAACCCCTAGATTCTTACAGCCTGCTTCTAAATCAAGCATCTCACACATATTAGTTGGACTGGGCTGGTTGTCAACAGTAGCATATTGGAGAGGGGATGATTGAGCTGGGATGGGTTGGAACATGATATATGAAATCAAACGGCTTATCAATCTTTCTTGATACTGTTATGGAATTTTATTCAAAATCTAGGTGGAATTGTAGAGGAAGATTGAATTGTTAGTTGAAATTTTTTGTTGTGAGACTTGATCTGGATGTCTTTGTTGTCTCTTTGTCTCCTATGGTGGTGTTTGCTTTTGAACTTGTTTACTCCCTCGATCCATCCTAAAATATAAGGCATAACCACCCATAACACAAAGACCAAGAAAACATTTAATCACTTTCTTAGTTGGATCACCTTGATGAATGCAAGCAATGTGATTGGGAGTGATTGGGAGGTTTGATGATAGTATAAGATTTAAAACAAATAAATTTTATAGGACCAAGAGATACTAGTTAATGTATGCATGCATGCACGCCTTACATTATGAGACATGAGAGAAAAGTGGTTGTGCCTTATATTTTGGGATGGAGAGTATAAGCCTAAGTGTTTGGTGATGTAATACCATATTTGTGTACATCCTTCTATAGATGTAGAGGCCGGGTTTTATTTAATCTATTATTAAAAAAATTAATCTTTCTTGGTTACATGCATGGCTTGACTTGGGAGCTACTTCATAGGAATAATTGCAGTCTGTGGTTGGTAATATATATATACAAATGTTACAGAGATTACCAAAGCTGCTAAAATATGTTATATATCCATGTAACTTTTTAGCCAATATAATAATTCACTAACCCGCACACGTTGCTTTTAATTGAGTTTTACATATATCCTAAAAAATTACAACCAACAATATAACCTATACATCAACTGATGCATGGCTCATTATGCAATTTTTAAACGTATGGACATCGGAAATTTATTTTGACGAAATTATAGTCGTGGCCTTGCATGCATGATTAGCTGATCCTTGTCTTCATTTCAAGTGTTTGTGAAACCAATCGACCATTAAATCAAGAGCTTGCTCGGCTTTTTTGACCTCGAATGGGTTGCTGGCGTTATATCTGCAAGCAAATCCATGGTTCACTCCTTGGAAGACCTTGGCAAAGTAATCAATCTTCAATAATTAATGAACAAAAGGTTATTTCTAACGTTCATTTTTTGCTAATGAATAATATATTTCTTTGCAAAGATTTGTTATTGAAATATTTGATGAATGTTTTAAAGAAAAATATGTTCTTCTTGCAAAAAAGGAGAGAAAGGAATAGGTATAGGATTAAAGCCACATGCAGTGCCCCAAATGATGGCCTAGCTTTTGTGGATTAGATTTTGGGTGAGTTATTTTCCTCGTTTCGCTTATGCAACTCACTTGTTTACTGTGACTATTTTTTAAACCACGAAACAGTGAACGGTGTCTTTTTTAGAAAATTTTATATATATATATATATATGTGTATACGTTTCTTTAAAAATTAAATAAATATATTTTAATTTTGTAATAGTTAATATTTAATTAATCATATACTATTGTTATTTCTCGGTTCCCGTTTACAATATGCTAGTAAATCTTTTGATTTTTATGCTATTGTATCAGCTCTAACTTTTGCCAGATGTTGACCAGCAATTAGAGCCAGCATTCCCTCAAAAGGAAAATATAGCCAGCATGATCTTTTATCATATCATCATCCGTGGAAAATTCTCTTGTGTGTCTACAGTCTCATTTCCTTTCAGAAAATAGACTTAATTAGTTTTTCAGTTCAAGTGTTCTCACTCTTCCGGTCTATTGAATCCTGTGCTTCATGTATATGTGCAAATTAAATTATCTTATCTGAAAAACAAAAAGGATAACAAATTGCAAGGCAAATAGAGCTATATATGCTGATGCATTTGCTATATCAACTGTAAACGAAATTATAACAGGGGAACTCACCCGATCAGTTCTATGACGCAAGGCCTGAACATACTGGTACACTAATTTTGGTGGTGTCAGTGTGTCGTTCTGAGCTCCAATGATCTCAATGGGGCATTTGACCTCTGCGTGAAATGTCACGGCGAACTTTGGAATAAGAA